AATATAATAATCCAACTAAAGCATACGAACACGTTTTGATTAAAATCATAGCACCACATTCTTGGTGGTATAACCCTTTTTTGAATGGTAATGTGTGTGTCTGTTCTTACAGTGCAATGCTTTGTGTATTTATTTACTCAATAGTAAGTACCACTGATTTAAATGCTTAAGTTAGAATTGCACCACATGTGTCCTGTTTAATTCATGTTCTCACATGAGAAAGGTTTAACTAATTAAAGCTTCCATCATCAGCATAATAGCCAATTGGCTTTTTCCTCCATGAGCATGGGCAACTCCAGATTAATGACAACCTGTTACATGTGCTTGGTTTGCTGGATTGAGACTTAAATTACTTGCAGAGAGAATTAAGGGCATATCTATACTGTAGAATGAATCCAGATGGACCCCACTTTAACTGCAATGGTTCATTGCTATGGACCCATGGGAGTTGCAGTTTTATAAGGTTTCTAAGCATTCTCTGCGAAAGAATGCTGGTGCCTGAACAAACTACCACTCCCAGGATGTAGCACTGAGCCGTGGCGGGAAACTTGCTGCCAAACTGCGTTAATTCTATAGTGTAAACTCTAAGCGACAATTTGTAGAGATGTTGACTCAACCAGCAGTGACCCCTGGACTTTTAAGTAAAATTGCACCACTCTATGAGAGACACATACATTCAATGTCTCCATTGTAATGCAACAGATCAGTGGAGCACTAAGGTTTTGTAAGCCAAGCAAGACAGCAGTCTGACTGCAAAAGAAATCCTGGTGAAAGCAAGGGGTTTATTTTACAGAGCATTCACTAGGTACAGTATTAGGCTCCGCACTGCTTAAGGGGGTTTATGGTCTACTAAATGAATTGAGGCTGAAATCAACACTGCATGTATCTGACCAAGTCAGTTCTAATTCCTGAAAGCATATACTATTAATAAATTTATTAATTTTATAGGTGTCATGGGGATCTCTCTTGGTTTTGCTGCAAGCAAGTACTAGTGCCCCTTGGAAACTTGTGACAGTGAGGATTCAGTAAAGTTCCCTGCAGGATCCATGGGAAAATCAATCAGCCTATCCATGATCTTACCTGGCTTATGATCTACTTATCATAATTACAGTGATTAAGAGAAGATTGGGGGGAATGGGACAACAAAGGGGGAATCTAGCAGCACCTTTTAAGACTGACTGGTTTATATTTTTCATGACATTTTATGGATATTAATCCATTTGTTCAGCTGCTATGACATAAGAGGCAGTTTGATACTTGAACTTCAATGGCTCAATGCTAGGGAATAATGGCAATTGTAGTTTTAGCCTTCCCTGTCACCAAATCCTAGGATTCCATAGCATTGGCCATGGCAGTAAATGTGTAGCCAATCTGCATTAATTTAACAGTGCAGAAGCATCCCTAGTAATCTTAAAGCCTCAGGTTGTTAAGCATATTTACAGAGTAAGAGATAATGTAATCGATTTCTACTTTCCTGGTCAAACAGTATATGTGGAATACCCTTTCTTTGAAATGCTTTGGACTAGAAGCATTTTGGTTTTTGGATTATTTATTCAGATTTTGAATATAATATACACAATGAGGTATCTTGAAGATAAGACCCAATTCTAAACAAATTCATTTACCTTTATATATAAATAGCCTGAAAATAATTGTATAGTCTTTCTTAAAATTTTGTGTATGAAACAAAGTTTGTATGCACTGAACCATCACAAAGCATAAGTGTTACTATCTCAACCATGATTTTGGAGGTTTCTGGAATTCTAGCTAAAGGATGCTCAGCCTGTATAGGATTTTCAAGGAGCAATTCTTGAAGAAAGAAATCACAACGGGTGACTGGTGAGAGCAATTGAATGTCATTCACAATCTGCAATCTATTAGCAGAGGTAGGAATAAAGAAAATAGTTTTATAACACAATACATGAATCCCCACAACTGGAGATATAACAAAGGAAATCTCCCAATTTCACAGATCAATGTTGTAAAGATCTAAAAGACCCAAATTTCCCCATGCAGTCTTTTGAAGATTTAGGACAGAGGGCCAGGATTTGCATCTTTCTGAAGGACGCAGACGTGGACAGATATTATTATTTACAAAAGGCTCATGTGTATATGTATATGTATGTGTGTTGTGTGTGTGTGTGTGCGCGTGCGTGTGTGTATATATATATATATATAAAATTTGGACTGATAAAAGGTAGGCTGCTAGGGATGGTGTGACTGGGATTTTGGGTCAATGTGGAATGTTAATGTTTTAGAATATTTTACATATTTTTATTGGACCTATGTTTTATTAGTGTAATCATGTTTTATTTAAATATTTGTATTATTATTAGCAGTAGTAATTCAATTATCTTTTTAGTTATAAGTTTATTGATGTTATTTGTATTAGGTTAATCTGTGTGTATTTGCTTTCCTATGGCATTGAATGTTTGCCTTTTTGTATGTAAACCGCCCTGAGTCCCCTTGGGGGGAGAGAGCAGTTTATAATTATAATTATTAATAGTTTGATGGCACAAAGAATTCAATTATTTCAATGTTGTTAATGGCACACAGTGGTTTTTTTTAAAGTACATTGATATTTTAATGTGTTTACATTGTTTGGTGCCTTTGGTAGTAATATTGAGAGAAAGACAAGACAAAAATAAAGTACAAAGTATAATGTATTAAACTGTTTGATATTTATACTGGTGGGTTTAACGGCCATTAGTTGTTTTAACTATGCTTAACGATATTTATTGTTTTCTTTTTTATTTACAGGCTTTTGTTTGATATTATGTATATTTTTGTGTTGTGAGCTGTCCCAACTCTCTTTGGGGAGAAGGGGTGGGAATACAAATAAAGTTTATTATTATAAACTATGTATGTATGTGTGTGTATAATAAATAACAAATAAAACTACTAGCCTGAACTGGGCTGCTAGATCCCTTCTTACAATGCCATAGGGTACATCTACACTGTAGAGCTGTAGCTCTCCATCTTTGGAACTCACTACCAGCTGAGATTAGGCAAGCCCCCACCTTAGCAGAAAAACCTGAAAACGTGGCTCTTTCGATGTGCCTTTGGAGAGTGACCATTTATCCCATTTCTGTTTGCTCCATCTATAGTGTTGTCTCTATGATGCACTCCCTCCGCCCCCGGTCCTAAACTGAAAACTACCCTACTGTTTATCCCTTTTGGGCTCCCCTCAATTACATATTTTCTATTCCTATCCTATCCAGGGTTTTATCATTTTACCTCATCCATTTGGCCTGCCCATTCTTTTCGATTTTATATTATGTTAGTTTGCTTTATTTTATTTTGCTACTGTATGTATTTTATTCTGATGTAAATTTTTGTTGTCTGCATTTTGTATTTTATTGAGCTGTATTGTATCTTTGGGCTTGGCCTCATGTTAGCCGCCCAAGTCCCCTTTGGGGAGATGGTGGCGGGGCATAAATAAAGCTTATTGTTATTATAGAGCAGCCATGGGCAAACTTAGCCCCTCCAGGTGTTCTGGATTCCAACTCCCACAATTCCTAACAGACTCGGGCCTTTTCCTTTTCCTTCTCAGCCGCTTAAGCAGTTGAAGCAATTCAAGAGAGATATTGACAAGCTGGAATGTGTCTAGAGGAGGGCGACTAAAATGATCAAGGGTCTGGAGAACAAGCCCTATGAGGAGTGACTTAAGGAGCTGGGCATGTTTAGCCTGAAGAAGAGAAGTCTGAGAAGAGATATGATAGCCATGTATAAATATGTGAGAGGAAGCCACAGGGAGGAGGGAGCAAGCTCGTTTTCTGCTTCCCTGGAGACTAGGACGCGAAACAATGGCTTCAAACTACAAGAGAGGAGATTCCATCTGAACATGAGGAAGAACTTCCTGACTGTGAGAGCCATTCAGCAGTGGAACTCTCTGCCCCAGAGTGTGGTGGAGGCTCCTTCTTTGGAAGCTTTTAAACAGAGGCTGGATGGCCATCTGTCAGGGGTGATTTGAATGCAATATTCCTGCTTCTTGGCAAGGGGTTGGACTGGATGGCCCATGAGGTCTCTTCCAACTCTATGATTCTATGAAAAAGGAAGGGACCTGAGGCTGTTAGAAATTGTGGGAGTTGGGAGTCCAAAATACCTGGTGGGCCCAAGTTTGCCCATGCCTGCCGTAGAGTTAGTGCAGGTTGATGCCACTGTGACTGCCCTGGCTTAGTGCTGTGGAATCATGAGAGTTAGAATCAAAGAGTTGGAAGAGACTCAGTTCTTGTGGGTTTTTTCGGGCTATATGGCCATGTTCTAGAGGCATTTCTCCTGACGTTTCGCCTGCATCTATGGCAGGCTTCCTCAGAGGTCTGCTGGAGCTGGGAAAAAGGGGTTTATATATCTGTGGAATGACCAGGGTGAGACAAAAGGCTTTTGTAAGTTGGGCTAGGTGTGAATCTTTTCAACTGACCACCTTGATTAGCATACAATGGGCTGACTGTGCCTGGAGCAAACTCTTCTTGAAAGGTGATTAGATGTCCCTGCCTGTTTTTCTCTCTGCTGTTTTGCTGTTGCAATTTTAGAATTTTTTAATACTGGTAGCCAGATTTTGTTCATTTTCATGGTTTCTTCCTTTCTGTTGAAATTGTTCACATGTTTGTGGATTTCAATGGCTTCTCTGTGTAGTCTGACATGGTGGTTGTGAGAGTGGTCCAGCATTTTTGTGTTCTCAAATAAAAAGTTGGAAGAGACCTCATGGGCCATCCAGTCCAAACTATGAGAGTTGTAGTTTTACACCGCCTTTAGTCTTCTTGGCCTCACCAAACTCCCACTCCCAGGATTCCCCCGCATGGAGTCCTGGCAGCTCAAGCCATTCTTGAGGATGGACTAAGAGAGCGGCTTCTTTTGTCTTCACTGACAGAGGAGTCACGTGAGCGAGGCGGCACCATAGACAAAAGCGGGGGCAGAGCGGCCACCCTCTTGCGACAGAGCAACCCAAAGCCTTCCCGGCGTGGCCCCGCCCACTAGGCGCGTCAGCACGCCGGGCGGGTCCCGTGACCGGAAGAGGGCGAGCGAGAGACGGAAGTGAAAGCGGGAAGGTTTTTTGGCCCCATTAAAGCGGACCTGAGCGGCGCAGGGAGGAGGAGGTTGTCACCGCCGCTGCTGTTGTTGTTGAGTTACCACAGAAGTCGCCGCCGAGGAGGAAGAGGAGGAGGATTCCGGGCCCCCTGAGACGGTGAGGGAAGGGCGGCGGCGGAGGAGGGAGGGAGCGAACGAGGGAGGCCTGGCGGGTGGGGCTAAGCCAGGCTTGGCGTCCCGGTGGGCCCGGCCTTGGGTGTGCGGCCCAGGCAGCGCCAGCGGGGCTTGTTTGGGAGACAGCAGGAGGAGGAGGGCGCGGCTCCCTCGGCGCTTCAGGCCGCCCTCCTGCCTCGGCCGCCAAGGAGGGAGGAGAGAGCGGCCCTCGGCCCCGCCCTGGCTCTCTCTCCGAGGCAGGAGTCGCTCTGGAAGTTCCTTGCCTCCTCACGGCAGCTCCGGAGGGAAAGCGAAAGGGAGGCGGCCTTCCCGGAAGGGATTTTGGTGTGAGGAGCGAGCTTCTTCCTCTTTCTCCCCCGACACAAAGAGATGTGGGGTGGAGCCCCGTGCTCGTCCTGATACCTTTGAAGTCCACACAGCCATATCACCCAGAATATCAAGACGGATAAGCCACAATATGTGCTTTGGACCGGGTTATCTGAGTCCACACTGCCATATAATCCAGTTCAATGTGGGTTTTCTACAGCTGTGTAGAAGCGGCCTGAGTGTGACTTAGACCTTGGCCCTCCGAAACCGAAAGGCGAGAAAGCCCGGCCCGAGTAGGTTCCCCTCCCCCTTCTGGCCCCTCCCGCCAGCCCTTCCCTGCAGGCAAAACAATAACGCTTCCTGTCGCTCCCGGTTGAAGAGTTCAAAGGTAAGGTAACACGCCTTTGTTTCTCATGCCCCATCTCTAGTAATCACTTAAATCCATTTCCAACCGGTGTTGAAGAAAGTGGTTTCGCTGTGCAGACGATTACAGAGGAAATCCAGGAGCCACTTCGAGGCCTGGATGGTGATTACACAGATCACTCAGCGTTAAGGGGTTTCTTTCGCACGCTTTTGTGGGGCTTTGTTGTTTGCTCACCGCAGTTTGAAGCTAGTTTCCAACTTCATTAAATAGTCAAGAGTAGAAGGGGCCTTAGTCGTCTGCCTTGTTCATGCCAAAGTGCTTCACCTTGGTGTCATGTTACTTCGGGAAATTTGAAATTGAAACCATCTCCTGAGGATTACTTTGTTGTCCGCTCCCTGTGTAAATAATCACCTGAGGTAAATGTACTCTTTCCTGAATGGTATTTTTTTTGGTCGCTCGGTCTTATAAGGAAGCTTGTCCCATTGTATAGTAGGAAGACTTATGTGTAAGCCTACATTGATTATCAATATACATAAAAATGTAATGTTAGTTTGTGGGATTAACATAACTCAAAAACCACTGGACGAATGTACACCAAATTTGGACACAATACACGTATTAGTCCAATGAGTGACCATCACTCATAAAAATGTTGAAAAACACAGAAGAGACTTAAAAAGCACCCACCCACCCCCAATTACAATGCATGCACAAAACCACACATATACACAAATGCATACATATACACACAAAAAGCACTTATACACAGACTGGGCCACAGCAACACATGGCAGGGGATGGCTAGTAATTCATATAAATGGTTAGGTAGTATGTTTGTGGACAATTCTGGAATGCCTCTGGTACGCACAAGGACAGCTAAGGGTAATAATATATTGCTAGAATCTACTCAGAATGCACAAATGGTAAACCATTGGGTCCTTCAACTTGATGCTATCTTACTGGTTAAACATGAGATCATTGATTAAATTAGGAAAAGCAAACAAAGCATGATCTCTTCCAAGTATGTAACTTGTAAGTGTGCTGCCTTTCTGAGTATTCACTAGTATTGGTCAAGACTGCAAAAGAGTCCAAGAGTACTCCAAGTCTTGACTCATCAATGTCCTTGGACAGAACAGGCTTTATCTTGGTAATAGTGTGTGCATGCATGTGCAACTGAGTAGGAGAAAGTTCTTATCAGACTAGCATTTTCTGTACCTTTTTGTAAAGATTTAAATATTTAAGCATGGCAAATGAATGCTGGAAGCATGCTGAATTCTAAGAATTTAGTGGAAATTACTGAAACTAAAATGAGTTGCCCTTCCAACTGATTTTGTAACAAATGACTGTCAAATGCCAGATAATAAAATGTAAGCCAGGTTTAAATTTGGCTTGCTTAAATTCACTTCAGTAGTCCAAGTATTCTTGTGTATGTGTTATATTTTAAATATTACATGTGTAATTTCACTGATCTTTGTAAACTTCACAGATTTTCAGAGTGTGCTTTTAATTTCGTTGCTCCGCTGCTGAGGAGTAAAACTTGATTAATGGTAGGAGGAGTTTAGATACTTTCCCTGTTCTTAGCCATGCCCTCTTAGTTGGGAAGAACAAGCATACTGTCTTCCCTTGTGATTGAAGCAGCTGATAAAGCACATGATTTAGTTCATGGATGGCTAACTACAGTTTGTCTAGGTAAAGAGATCACATAAATGCCAACAAGTAGTTTTGAATAAAGCCAGCAATGCAGCCTGTCACTTTTACTTCAGAAATCATGGTAAATAGCATGTGGGAGCTCTATAGCAATCTCATTCCCTGTTTATAACATTTCCACCCAAGGGTCTTAAACACAAACAAGAAAGGTCTCTAATATATATGTTGTTGAAGGCTTTCATGGCTGAAATCACAGGGTTGTTGTGAGTTTTTCAGGCTGTATGGTTCTAATTTGTGTTTGAATATATCGTCTCTAATACATGTCTCTAATATATGTTTGATGGTACTCTACTTGCCCTTGAAATTCTAAGCATCAGAACAAAGAAGTCATTTAAATAGCATATGCATTTTATATTGAGATCTAGTTTTATAACTTGATAGTTCTTGAAACAAGATGGAGCATAATCTAGAGAAATCATGAAGTACATCTGGAACTGCTATCATGGAACAACAGAGCTACAGAGCATGTGCTTTTGTGAGTGGAAAGTCCCAAACTCAATTCTTGTAATCTTCAGTTAAAAAGCATATTGGTAGCCAGTGATGGGAAAGGCTTTTATCATATTCTAGAGTTGCTTGTCATCAAAAGATTGACTACTGAGCTCATGGACCAGGAGTTTGACATCACCTAGGACACCTTGCTTTAAAAGGAATAGCAAAAAAATAAAAATAAAATGGCAGGTTATATTAATCTGAACTTTGTTTGATTTTTGCTTAAAGTGTGTATTTATAAGTAAAATCTACGTGCATCTCCTTTTGTGTTAAGTTTCCTTCTATGGTATCTTTGGGAATTCAGGACATTTCTTAATGCGCTGGTTATTTGTCCACCCAGAAAAGCCTGACTTAATCAAGTGCTTGATTATCCTGAACTTAACTGCCTTGCTGGCTGTGCCTAACATTTTCCCTAACCCAGAACAGACTGTACCTATAGATAACTTAAAGACTTCAAAATGCACTTCAGATTATTTTGGAAGGAACCCAGCCAGCTATCCAAGTGTGCCTGAATTTTCCCTCCAGGCAGTAATCTGAAACATGAAGTTTAGAATTCTAAACAGATTTGTATTGGTTTTGGGAGCAGAATGAGAGCATTAGAAGATTGCATTAGAAACTTAGCTTTGAAAGCTCTTGAAGAGGGTGAACATAATTCCAGGTTGAGGCTATTTGTAACTATGGATACCATGGATCATTTAAAATCCCTAACTTTGAATTTAGGAAAGTTATTATCCACTTCTGTTTTGTGTTCTACAGCTGAGTGGGTGACCATTTACTCTCTTTATTAAAGATAAACTCCTCAATCCTTTGCAAATCAATAAGTTCTGTGCTCTGTCTTTCTTTTCTTCTCTTTTCTCTTCTTTCAACACACACCTGGGGCCAATAGTTCAAATTCTTTGACTTAGCCATCTTAAATCTGGACTGCATATCTGTTTCTAGTGTTACTTGATAATAAATTTTCTGTTTCTCTCTTAGGCTCATAATCAAGTCCCGTACTGTTTATTCATCTTTGTGCAGTTGCCATGATCTCTTGATATCTCTCCTCTTATCCACCTCAAAGCCACAACTATGAGTTGTCCTTGCATGTGGCTGTGGCTTGAGAACCAGTAACTTCAAGATGCAAGTGGTGTGGAAGATAACTAGCCAGCAAGATCCATAGGTTGATAGGATAGGAGTGTACAGAAAGTGCGTAGGAACTCATTGCTGTTAGGCTTCTGCAGTCATCACTTACCTTCTACAAGCAAACTACTGAGAAGTGACAAAGCTAGTTTTGGACATTTGTATTTGTATTTGTTTGTAGTTTGTATTTGAATACTCTTGGCTTTTTGGACTTCTGAGAGTTCACATGGAGGTCCTGCAGCATTTTGTAAGGAGGAGTGTTAGCTCGGCAAAACAGAATTTGTTTTTAAAATCTAGTCCTGTTTCTTCTAGCATGGATCCTTTCAGATGTGTTGGACTCGGCTCTCGTTATCGTCAGCCAGTATGGCTAATAGTTGGGGGGTGATGAAACTCATACTTTAACATATTTGGAATACATTGGGTTACTTGACCGTTAAATTGGAGGCACAAACATTTATTTTTATTTATTTATATCCCACTTTATTTCTTCATATGGAGATTCAAAGCAACTCATTCTTACCTAATCCCCATCATATCAAATTAAAGGATTTTATTTGCCTTGAATAAATCCCATGTGCATTACTGTTACACAATCTACATTTGAAAACTATTTGGCCACAGCAACGAATCCAATATACAGTAGCTACAGTGTTGACTAGGGCCACTTACAAGGAGCACGTAACTCCTACATTGCAAGAACTTCACCAGCTATTGGTCTGTTTCCAAAACACAATTCAAAGTGCTAATTACAACATTTAAAAGACACTGTATGGATTGTGTCCAGCCCATATGAAAGGCAAGACTTCTTTCTATGAGCCTGCCTGATCTCTTCTGGGGAAGGGTTTCTCTCCATCCACCACTATCACAGGACAGGGGAGAAAGTCTTCTCAGTAGCTGTCCAAAGTTGCAGAATCTCCACCCATAGGAAGCTTACTTTCCACTAGAAGTAAAGACATTTAGGGAGACTTAGTGCGGCAGGGATCTGCTATGCTTTTTCC